ATACTCGCAGCAGCTTCATTTAAAATAATAGATTTGTATGTTCAGTGTGATCTGCACAACAAGAACAAGGATTTAAAAAGCTAAAAAGTGGTATGTGTTGCACATATAAGACAACATCCCATTTTTCGATAGTCATTTTGTTATCTTAAGCCTTGTCGTATACGCAAGAATATACAGTATTTATGTTTGCCTACAATTTGTTTTTCACCAGAGGAATTTGGAAAACTGAAGGATGAGGTACCACCAGCATTGGTTGATGCTCATGTTAAACGCGTAAAGGAGGCCCTCAGTAAAGGGACCAGCGATACAGACCATGTACTGAAAACCAGTGGAATTGCAGGTACTGCCCCTGAAGGAGAGGATGAAAACAAGGAAAAGAAAGAAGATGAAAATAAGGATGAAACAACTGAAGAAAAAAAGAAGGTAAAATCATACCAAATATTTTCATTTAGGATCTGTTATTAGCAATTTTTATTTTGATGTTATTAATGTTAATTGATTACTATATTTTTTATTAAATTTATTATTAATACTTGTTGGGTTTTGAAACCCTCACTTCGCATTTTACTTGTGTCCTTGAGGAAGACACCTTATCTACTTTTAATTCCTCTACCAAGATGTATACTGTAAATGAGATGTTTGAAATGTAAACAAACTTGTTTTGCAATATACAGTCTGGTACAAACACCAAAGTGACCCCGGCCTGTGGCCTTTTGATTTTACCTACCATGTGCTATAATTTTAAATAATATTATTTTTACTTATATACAAATTTATGTTTTTCCAAATAGGAGGGAGATGAGACAGAAACTGATGATAAAGAGAAGACTGAAGAAAAGGAAGAAGAGAAAACAGAGGAAGTCAAAAAAGATGAAGAGATGGAAGACACAAAAAAAGAGGAAAAGGAAGAAGAAAAAGAAAAAAGTAATGAAAATGAAGAAAAAGAAGAAGCAATGGATACCACTCCTGAAAAGGCAGAAGAAGTAAAAGAGGAGAAAACAGACACAGAAGAAGAAAAAACTGAAACAAAAACAGAAGAGAAAACAGAAGAAACAAAAAAGGAAGAAGAAGAGGAGAAAATGGAGGAGGATAAAGCAGATGAGGAAGAAGTGAAAAAAGAACCAGAAGAAAAGCCAGAGAAAGTGAAGAGTTTTGAAGAAGAGATCGATGAAGGCAACATCTCAACAGCAGCTGCGGCAGCTCTAGCTGCAGCGGCAGTCAAAGCGAAGGTAAGCACTAAAGTTGTAACTACAGCGGCTGCAACAGCTCTAGCTGCAGAAGCTGTCAAACTCAAGGCAATTATAGTAAATTAATGCTTATAATGCAGTAGTGCACAAGGCATGAAGCCTTGTGCACTACAAAAATAGCGCCAGAAAATCAAATGGACAAGAATGATAAGCAGTAGAGTTTTAATTACAGCTGCCAGGGCAACTTTATCTGTGGTGGCAGTCAAAGCCAAAGTAAGCACTAAAGTTGTAATTACAGCTCCTGCGGCAGCTCTAACTGCAAAAGCAGTCAGTTAAGGCAATGATAATAAGTTAATGCTTATAATGGTGCAGCAGTAGTCAGACAAGGTAAGAAGTAGAGTTCTAATTACAGCTACTGCTGCAGTACCTCTAGCTGCAGCAGTAGTCAGACAAGGTAAGCAGTAGAGTTCTAATTACAGCTACTGCTGCAGTACCTCTAGCTGCAGCAGTAGTCAGACAAGGTAAGGCAGTCAAATCCAACAAAAGCAATAGGGTTCTACTTTCAGCTGCAGCTCTAGCTGTGGCAGCAGTCAAGCCAAGCTAATAATTTTAATGGTGTATGCAGGAACGTACTGTAATATCAGTATGATTATAGCAGCAATCAATGTAGTGAATACTATATAACATTTCAATTAACATTACAACTTTTATATTTGCATTTAAGCACTTAGCGCAAGTAGAGGAGCGCAAGATTAAAAGCTTGGTAGCATTCTTGGTTGAGACACAAATGAAGAAATTGGAGATTAAATT